ATTCTGTTGTTTAATTGTATCCATTCATACAGTTATAATAAGTAGTACCACTTACATGCTGACATGTCCAAGTTCATCTGTCTAGTCACGACTCCTTACTTAACTCCAGGCTTTTGGAGGTTCCACATGTATAGAGAAGTCACCATTTCCCAGGCTGAACTCAGTGTCTGCCCACATGCCTCATCGCCACCCCTCCCTTCTCAGCTCGGCTGTTTTTGCTATGTTCTGTGTATCAATACATGACACCATGAGAAGCCTGGGATTCACCAAGTCCTGTCACTTCTACCTTGTAAATGCCCTGATTGTATATTTTCTCCTTTACGTACCTGCCTTAGTTAATCAATCGTTCCTGGATTTTTCAGAGGGTTTTCATCTTATGCCCAACGTTAGGCCTTGCTCCACTTCAATCCACCCTCCACACCTCAGAAGCATCTTCCTGAAGTGTGAATCTGTTTCTGTGATTCTACAATTTACATCTTTTCATGGGTCACAAAATTTAAACTCTTCAGCAAACCACCAAAATTGTCTTCATAATCTGATCACCACCTATGACCTCAATGCCAACTCTCACCTCCTCATTTCCACTTCCAATTACAGCCATTTTCAGCTACGTGCAAATCTGTAACCCCACTTATTTTTTCTTTGTCTCATTCTCCTATATGCCATCATTCTGCATAAAACATATGCATAGACTTCTAACTCCCAACTTCATCTACCAAATTCCTTTGTAATGCCTCATATTCTATATTTCCAATAGTCCCTATATGTTTTCTCTTTCAAAGCACTTATGATCCTATATTGTGATTCTTTCTATATGTCTTAGTTTAAACAGTGAGTGCCTTGAAATTTAGGACTATGATTCTATTCTCTGTTTCTCCAAATATATGGTATACTGTCTGTGTATAATAACAAATTACTGCCATAAAAATGAGTACTTCACTCAATATTTGTGTCATTCACCAGGAATCAAGTAGCCAACAAACAACTGTATACAGTCAAAACCGCATGAGGTGAGATACAATAATTTTGTCTATATGTATTTTATAAACATGAATTATTAGGAAGACAGAATAAATATGTAACATATAAAGCAACTAAAAATACCAAATAACAAGTGGATGATGTAGTAAAGTCAACAAGAGACAAAGAAGTCCAGGGGAGACACAGACCACTAAGTACTCACTGGATATTCAGAAAAATTTTAGGGAAAAGATAAGACATACGCTAAGTAAAAGCCTGCAGTAGAATTAAGACTAGTGAACACCTATATACTACATTTCATGAGGGCAGGGGATAAGCTGGTGTTCATCACTGCTCTGTTCCTAAGGCCTAAGACATGGTTGGATCATAGTAGCCGCTAAATAAGTATTTGTGTTGAATTGAATTTTAAACTTTGCAGCTGGTGATACAAGAAAACATCTGTTTTGTTTCTTTTTTAAGGCAGTACTTTTCTCCATTTGCCATCCCATGAAAAGGTAATTTGTGTATGTGTTTACTAGAACTCTTTCCTCAAAAGTGAAATAGTGCTTTACTCTTTGGTTGGCAAATGCGTTGTTTCAAGATGGAGAAGAATCTGTTTCAAATGAAGAGAAATCTATTTCAGTGCATAGTCCTCAGAGCCAATTTTAGATCTTAAAATGCACTTTTCATCAAGAATCTTAACAAAGAGATTCCTGCCAATTTAACCAAGACATCTAAAAATATTTCATTCTAAAGCCAAGCGTTCTGCTCAGGAGCATTCTAATTGAGATCATGTTCTTCCAAAGATCTTCCATTGAGCCAGCAGTCACCTGAGTCACATGGCTGAGTAAGATAACACCATCACCCTGCTGAGTAAGAACTCACAACTGTATGCCACTTAGGAATTCTGCATTTTCCTTAGTCTGTGCTGGATTTCCAAGTTTCCTAAAACTTCTTTGTACCCAACAGAGCAATTATGATAAACCAAACCAGAGACACATATAACTTTGAATTGGAAATCAACTTAACATATCCCCTCTCATTTGAAACATAAGGTAACTGAGACTTACTAATGCCAATTACTGACCCAACCACACTTAGGGTAGCAGCTTGAGTGGACACTGGGTCTCTTGAGTGACAGCCTGGTATTCAGTCTTTTACATAAGCTATGTTCATACAGCATCAGTACCTTCCACATATATCATTACATTAATTCTGATGGTCACCTGAGATAGGTAAATGTGGGGCTACCACACCCCTTTAACAGGTGAGTCATTCCCTCAGGATGCCTGAGCAGCAGAAGCAGAACAAGTATCCGAGACTCCTGACTCAGTTCAGGGTTTTTCGAGCACTTCCATTTACCAGGATCACCACACCAACAAGGACCGTTTTCTATTGGTACAAATGAGTCAATGACAATTTAAATGGTCTGGTGCCTACCATTCTTCAAAGGAAGATTTGCTATAATAAAAGTTACAATGACAAGAGGTTACAGGCCACAAAGAATAATAAGGTAGAAACATGTATGTTAACCAATTTTGAGGTTTTATTAAATAATCAATCAACCATTCTTTCAAAATGGAATATAATCAAAAATCCTAATCCTTTAAGACCTGTATACAGGGGGCAACGTGCCCCAAAATATCTTATTTTATTTAGATACCAGTGATGGCATTGCCCATCTGTTGCTTCAAATCAAAGACTAGTGTTTAAATAAAATAGCAATACCACAAAATGTTTCTTTGAAGGATTAACTTAAGGCCTCTAAGATTGCTATTGGAAATGTGTTTATTTTATAACAAGTAAAAATGTGTTGGGACAAGTCCCCTTGTGTCAGCATTAGGCTAAGAAAGGAATCGGGCATGGGGTTTTTAACACTTGGCTCTACTCATTAATGCTACCCTACTGTCCTATTTACAGCCTGACATTTGTTTTTTACACTTTCAGCATCCCATGATTTTTCAGCAACAGTAAATAACCTTAGGAGATGACACTTTGCCTTAGCTGGGTCTATATTTTGACTAGCAGGCCTTGGCACTGTGTCCAATTCAGATACCTCTCCAAAATGTGGCATGCGGGTCAAACATGAACAAAATTTAAGAAGGAAAAAAACAAACCCAAAAACACAGCCCTCTACGGCTCTAAACAATTTGGAATATAATACATCTACGTTATTAGCTCATCTATTGCAGCAATTCCTAATCATCTCATCATTGTCTCTTTGGATTCTAAATATTTCTTAAGTTTTCTATAAAATCCCATTTTGTGACACTCTAAAAGGAAAAATGGTGAAATGAAATTTGGGGGGAGAAAAGAGCATAAATAAATAAAAATGCAAAAGAGAGGCGTCTAATTCAATCATGTGTGGGGCACACTGAACCACACCTGATTTCTGTGTCACTGTTTTTAGCAACACAATGTATACTCAAGTAATTGGGACTTAGGGGGTAGCCACATTGGAACAGCTTTAATTTTTTTTAATGGTAAAACTCAAAGTATAAACCGACGGAAGACCTCTAAAATATCACAGAACTGAATATTTATATACCTGAGAAATTAAATAGTATCCCAAGAAAGAAACACTCTCTACCCACACAAGGGATTTTCAAAATGTATAGGAAATCTGTGGTTCGGAATCATCCAATACTGTCTCTTATCTGTGTTTATATCCCATATGGTAAAAACTTGGGCACTGATTGGAAAGTAAGAAGACACAAATCATTAAAACATTACTGAAATAACTGAATATTCCCTCCAGTAGTCATGAAATGTTTCATAATCTTGTGCTACCTCGGGATTATCACCTATATTTGGGCAGTGTAAATGGGGACGAAGCTGGTAATTTGAGCTTCCTCTTATTTGAATTCTGGGAATGTATGTTGAGAGCATGTCCATTACAGAGTTCTTCGGCTTTCTTGAGTTAGTGTCTTAACTTTCAAGTCCTGTTGGCCGGCTCAGAAGTGTTTTGCATTAAACTTTACACACTACACCCTCTTCTTTAACAGTGCATTGCATTTCGAGGCGGAACCATGGCACAACACGATTTTCTGAGAAATGTGCTGTGTGCTATCAGAATTGAAAGTGACGCTGGAATCTTACACTCAGATGCGGCCTTCTAGGGAGCCTTTTCCAAAGGGGAAAACTTCTAAAACAGAGAATAGTCACTGGAGATATGGCCCAAGTGTGGGTATCTGGGACACTAATGTGTCGTGTATACCTGCAGTGCCCCAACATGGACAGCAGGGGGCGCGCCAGCGTGAAACTAACCCCCCAACAAGTGTTTCCCGGTTGGGAACACCGAGGCTTTTTCTCTTAGCCCTTGCCCCGAGTCCAGGGAGGTAGCCAGTAAGGAGTGCTGTTATCCATACATTGTAAAAGCTTCGGACAGGCGGTGAATAGCATTGCAGAAGTAACGGGAGATGACACAAAAGTCTGAACTCGTCTTTTGAAAACAAGGATGGCCAATTTTTATTTTATTTGTTTTGGTGGTCTGAGGGCTTAAAGGAGCTGGCGAGCAATTGGGGGCGGTGCTCGCCATCAGCTGTAAAGAGAACCTCTCGTAGAGCAACAAGTGGACATGAGAATCACCTGGTCATTTATTCAGCCTTTTTGCTACAGTTTAGTTTGTAGGTTACATTCTCTGTTAAATGTCAAATCAAAACCCTCCCCTCTTTCCCTGACCCCACCCCAAACCAGAAAATCACTTGATGAAAGGGGTTTCCCATTGAACTTCAGGAAATGTGGCTTCTGCAGGGGGTCTCCTGCATGTGGCTGTGTTTTGCATGTGAATGTGTGATGCATTTAACTTGCTTTATGCCAAGTCCCAAGTATTAGAACCAAATTGGAAAAATCCTTAGGGACCAGAAAGAGCTGGCTCTGAAACCACAAACACATGGATTCCAAAGTAAAATGCCCTGCCCGCACCCCCACTTCATACACATAGTCAGACACACCCCACTCCTACTGGCTGACTCCCTTTTACCTACCCCCATCCCCAAATGAAGATCTGCAGGGACCCAGCCATAAACCTCAGTACTCACCATATTGACTTCAGAAACCATATCGATGCTGGCAATGTCAATATTCATTCCCACAGCCACAGGCGGACCTGCAAACCAAGATGGCCAACCACGTGATTTCTCAGAACTTCATTCATTCTTAGCAAGAGTTGTCCCGGGTCATGGGACATTCTGCCCCAAGTTCCTCCCCACTGCTCATCCTCGAATTCTTCAAGCCCTCTGCTCCTTTTTTAAAAAGGGTGGCAGGTGCTCCTCTATGAAATGCTGTATTGCACATGCACACACATGTCCTCATGGAGGAGGGATTCCAGCTCTATCTACATATGTAGATGTCTCAGCTCAAGAACACACACAACTCACCAAAGCATAGGAACCACTCTAGCCCAAAAGAATTTAATATGTTGTGTTGAAAGCCTCTCCTCCTCATTCCACGCTCCCACCTCACCCCCTGCTTCTTTATGCAGGTTTTAACTCTTTGAGCTTCATATGACTCTGAAGCAAAATTAAACGGACACATGAGGGTATCCAAAGCTTCCTCGAGAGAGGTGTCTGATGCTTCTTGCCCCCTCCCACCCTCCCTACCCTCTCAGCTCCTCAGCCCCCCAACTCTCTTCCCACCGCCTCATGCAGGGGCTGGATCACATCCAGACACCAGTCACTTTAAGCCATAGCCAGAACTCTTCCAAAGTAGGCGGGCACAAGGGGTTAATGCCACTTCTCAACCAATTGTCTGCACATCTCGTCCTCAAACATGTTCACGACTGCCTTCATTAAGCCAGGTTCTCTGGACACACCATTAACTAAACTTAAAAGATCTGTATCTGAACGAGGCAAAGGCAGTGAAGCAAAGGATCTGTAACAGCAATCACCACTACACACGAAGAAGGTCTCACATCTAAGTGCTGGATAATAACCAATCACCTTAAGTTTGGCTCAGTTTCTCAATATGGTAACACAGAGACACATTCAATACACCACAAGCACCACGATGAGGGAGAAGGGAGGCAGCGAATGCAAAAAGCTCCAAAGACATCTTATAAAAAGACAGGCTAGAGCTGGGCTGTTTCTCATTTCCAAGGCAACCCCATTACCTCCAAAATCTGGTCTCAGACGTATGTCATAGCCTTTCAGGAGTCTGTCCACCGTCTCCTTAACCAGGGACATGTTACTAGGGTCATTGACACTAAAGAAAGAAAAGACAATAAACAGGCATCAGTCAGGCTGCAAGCACAGCGTCTTCAGCATCTATCTGATCCTCAACACGGATCCCGGCTCGCAGAGGTTTGCAGGCAGAGCCCTTCAAAGTGAGAAAGGAAAAAGGGAAATGTCGGGCACACTTACCTCTGCGCACAGACAGCGGCGATTATTAAGGGGAATGACCAAATCCCAAAGTAGCCCTTTTTCCGGACTCTCCACATCCCTTTAGTTTTTGATGGGATTGAGGGTTTCACTGAAGACAGGAGATCCAACTTAGTCTGCCCAGTGCAGTAATTCTAATGTGAGGCGCATGCGCACGGCGTACCAAAACATCAAAGGAGCAGCAGCGGCTGCCTGGGACCAAGCAGATTTTCTTGCACAGGGGGGAAAAAAAAAAAAGAAATTAAAGGAGGAAAAGGAAAACCATATACATGTATAATATATACATATTTGAATACTATAAAAAAAGTCAGCGAGGACTCAGTAAAAATCTTTGCTGTCCTGTCGTTAAGACAAAATCAACCAGAGTGGCTGGTTAAGTTTTGGTAGTTACAGGAGGCAATTTTGCACCTCGCGGGTTCTAGGGTGTGTGTGTGTGTGTGTGTGTGTGTGTGTGTGTGTGTGTGTGTGTGTGTGTGTGTGTGTGTGTCCTCTTAAATGTGCAAAACCAGATTAGAAATGTAAAGGATAGCAGGTGTGGAGTGCGAGGGGAAGATGGTGCCGGAGAGACCACTTCTGGTCTCAGCAAGCAGGCGGGGAGAGGAGTTTGAACTTTATTTCCTCAGCAAAGAGCATCCCCTGCCTAGGGCAAGCTGGGTTGTGTG